GTCAAGGACTTGAGTTTAAAATTTGAACATCAAATGCTTGAGGATGATGATTTTGAAGAGGTATATACAGTGTGTTTGACTTTTGAGTAATATTACTTGCAAATACTTTTTTGGTTTAATATTTTCTGTTTTTTATTTAAGGAATTTGTTGAGAGTGAAGAAGGGAAAAGTCCTATTGGGATTGTGGCTGCCGGTAATGGTGATGCTGTGGGTGATAGTTCTCTGGTGAAGAGATGCCTTCTAGATGAGTTCTCGACAACTCAAACATCAAAGTACATGTCCCTCGGTGTTAAGCTTGAAGGCAAATGACTGATTATAAATTGTGTGGCATGAAATGTCTATGGAGAATTATGGCTGTGTCATTTTTTTTTTATTTTGGGTTACTGTGTTGCAAATACAATTCCATTGCTTTTCTTTGTGTTTTGAGTTTTTGGTTACTGTTGGCACAACAAACAAGTACTAAGTGTTTCTTAAATAATTGTACCTCAGGGTACATGAAATATCTTTACTTTCTTGCAGGCTGCCACAAATTTGATTTCAAAATCTACCGTGTTGCATTGAAAAAGGATTCAAACAACTGTTATTACTAGCAGGTTAGCAGGTGGTTGCACTGGAAGATTGTGATCATTTGTAGTACTTATGTTGTATGGACTTCAAATTTTTGAGTCCATACAAAACGGTTTTTGTTATGAGGTTGTAGTTTTTCTCGACAGTAGAGTGTTGGTATAGGATAGTGATGTACTGAAAAAGTTATTTTCAGTATCTAATATTGTCTTATTGATCAAATAATACTTTATTTGTTGATTATTTATTTACTTATTATTTGTATAAGTAAAAAATCCTAATCGTAAGCAACAACGCAAGCACGATTACTTTATTGTTTAGATAAAAAAATCAAGAATGCTGCCTTAGACTGAAGATCATCATTTGCCGTAATAGTTTAGTAAGTATTGTTTTTGCAACACAGATAAAGGATTAAACATTCAAAAAAAAATTGAAAACAAAGATAACAAAGATAAGCTAAACAGGATTAATTAAATATAACAAGTCAAGTTCAAAATACTTGATGTTAACAACTAAGTACAACATATTCATGTAGTTAGCAACTAAGTACCACATACCTTTGACAGATGCAAATTAAATAATGCTCTCTGTTTAATTTCATTTTATGATAAGCTTTAGTACCTACGAAATTAGACACATCTTATTAAGCTTTAGCTGCTAATGCACATTAAAATTTATCAAAGCAGTTCTAAAATGTGAAATACTCATATACAAATGCTTATGTCGGATGCCATTATTTTATAAAACTGCACAGAACAATAATACACTACACACCAATTGAGTGTGAGTGCTAAAAGAAATATATAATTAAGATTATTCAAAAACCAAAATAAAAAACATGCAGGATGACTTATATCTATAGATACATAATACATAATATAGATACATATTGTTGATATTAACACCCTATGAAACAGTGGGGTATTCAACATTAGAATATTCCCATTTGAAAAAAATATATATATATCCACAAGCTTCCATGATTATAATAAAAAAAATACATACAAGATGAAAAAACTTAAATCCATTATGTTCTACGCCGGGAGTTCGGTTTTGATACCTAGAATGTTATGACTCCATCATATACAAGATTACCTTTCAAATTTCAAAAGTGACAGTCTCATGTTGGGTTGCTCTTGAAGAAATCAGTGTTTGTACATGACAAATTGTATGTTGCTGCAATCCTAAGGATCTATAAATTCTAATTTGTTATGAGCTTAACAAGAGTTGTACTTCAACAACTAATGTTATTTACCATGAAATTTTCAATAATTTGTAAATAAATTACCAATTTGCAATTTCATAATTTTTTCTGTGCCAATTGCAATATACTTTAAAAACTGTTTAAGATGTAATATCTATATTTTATTACATAACATATTGCACAATCATTTAGTTTATTACAATAATATCTAAAATTAAAAAGGATGCATTATTGACCGTGCATCGCACGGGTACCATGCTAGTAATAATAATAACAACTGCAGAACACTTGTATCATTTCCCCGCCCATCAAAATCACCTTGTCCTCAAGGTGATGGTACATAGTGCTAACGCTGGCTAGAAAGACGCATCAGCTGGAGTTCGCACGGCGGAGACTGATGCGGACTGCCCCCGGCTTTGACGGCGCTGGAGCTGTCTCGGTGTTCGTCGGTGGTGCTGCGTGGCTGCTGGAGGTGAAAACTGGCTCCTTTCCGGCCAGACCGTGAATCGCAGTAACAGAGTCGGCCAACGTTGTGTCGCCCATGACGACTGCTTTGATACCAAATGTTATAGGCTAGGATCACGTCACAGGCATAGAAACTTAGGAATACAAAAGGAAGCTTTTCTGGAGTGCTTCTTCTCCCCAAATGAAGCGTGTTTATGGAGTGCTTCTTCTCCCCCAAATGAAGCGTTTTTATGGAGTTCTTCTTCTCCCCCAATCTTCCATTTTATAAGAAGCCCAAAAGAGTTAATACCATCTGAGGTCCTCCGAGTATAGTGATTTTGCCATGTTTAGTCCTAAACTTTCAAATTGACCATTTGTAGTCCTTCGACTTTCAAATTTAACCATTCATGGTCCAAGTTAACTACTCATGGTCCTTAAAGTTTCGAAATTTAACCAGTTGTGGTCCTCTTGAAAGGACCATGGTTGGTTAAAATTTAAAAGTTGAAGGACCACGGGAGGTTAACTTGGACCACGAATGGTTAAATTTGAAAGTCGAAGGACCACAGATGGTTAATTTGAAAGTATAGGACTGAACGTGGCAAAACCACTATACTCAGAGGACCTCAGATGGTATTAACTCAAGCCCAAAAATACAAATTTCCCAGATGTCCCCCTTCTTGAAATACCTAGGCATCTATTTATAGAAGATAAAATCTACTCACTACCTCTAACTACCTAGGAAGTGGTCATCCCACTACTACTATTACAATATTGGTCATCCCACCACCACTACTACTACTACAATAATAATAATAATAATAATAATAATAATAATAATAATAATAATAATAATAATAATAATAATAATAACAACTGGTCAACTGTAGAACACTTGTATCATTTCCATGCCCTTCAAAATCACCTTGTCCTCAAGCTGATGGTACACAGTGGATGGTCATATCATTGCCATGCCCATCAAAATCACCTTGTCCTCAAGGTGATGATTAACAAGAGGTAGCTCCAAAAGCTTGACCATCTCTGTCCCAAAATATCTTCAATAATTGCATTAATCCATAGCAGCAAATTAATTGATTCAGCATCAACGGTTGAATTTGGAAGCAATTCTGCACAATTCTTGGTTGGCAGGTGTAGATTGATCCACGGCATATGCAGATCGTCGGACGTGCTTCCCCCGATGCTTGGCTGCCTGCCACCATTGTTTTGTTGCCGAAGATGACCGGTTTCATGGATAACCCCATCTGATTGGCTAAGGCATAGAAAGGGAGTGTGACATAGCTGCACATAATTCGTATCATGGCCCCATTGACAGCCTGATGTTAGGTCTGCAACATTCTTGTGGAAGCAACTTGAAGCAGCTATGCGAATCCACAACTTCCACTCTGTTTATAGTTTTCTTTTTCTTTTTTTTTTGGTCCCACAAATAATTTTTCTGGATTGATACTCTCAACGAAATCACCAATTGATACAACCCTGAGGTTGTATGTGTTGCTCTTCTTCGAGTCAAGAGCCAAACTCCGTGGATGTGCTTCGAGTGACAGCCCAACTCCCAATGACTATACTTCGAGTGATAGTCTAACTCCCAAAATATCTCCAGACGTCCATAAATATATTCTTCATTTATACCAAATTTGTTATAGGACAGGATCGCGTCACAGGCCTACGAACAGGACTCGAGTGGCGAGCCGGAGGAACGGGGGAGTTTGATGATCTACCTATGGTTATAGGTAAAAGGGAACTGGAGAGGACAATAGCTAGAAGGCACAAGGATGTAAAAACTGAAGCTTTTCTGGAGTGCTTCTTCTCCCAACCTTTCATTAAACTGAAAGCCAAATTATCATATATTTCCTAGATGTCCCCCTTTTTGAAATACCTAGGCATCTATTTATAGAAGATAAAAACTACCCACTACCTCTAACTACCTAGGAAGTGGTCATCCCACTACTACTATTACAATAGTGGTCATCCCACCACTACTACTACTACAATAATAATAATAATAATAATAATAATAATAATAATAATAATAATAATAATAATAATAATAATAATAATAATAATAATAACAGCAGAACACTTGTATCATAATTCTGTGAGTAGCAATATTTGGCATGCTAGATTAGGGCATGCCTCCCATGCAAAAATAAGATTCTTACAATATCTGAATGTAAATATAGATGGTGGAAAAGAAAATGTTTGTGATTGCTGCCTTTGGCTAAACAAAAAAGACTTCCTTTCATTCCTAGTAAATCGTCTACCACTGATTGCTTTCATTTAGCCCATATGGATATCTGGGGACTATATCATGTTAAAACATTGTCTGGACATCAATATTTCCTTACAATTGTAGATGATTTTAGCAAGGCTACTTGGGTGTACCTTATGAAGGGTAAAGATGAAGTGAGACAACTGATTTTGCTGACTTGGCTATCTTGATTTATCTCCTCTAATAAAGATCAATAGCTAAAATTGCAATGAAATAGAAAAAAAAAAAAAAAAAAAAGGCTAGGGTTGGAGGAAAATTTGCCTCTTTTCACCGCCAGTGTAGTATTTTTGGGGGGCATCAGAGTCGTGGCCTGAGGGGCGATTCAAATCGGAGAGAGTTCGTATGCCGCCGATCCGGCCGTTGCTGCTGGAGGACTTGGACGGTTTCTTATAGCACGAAGACATACTACTCTATAACTCCAGCTATAGACGGGATTCCAACGGAGAAGACAGATCTGAGATCTATTTTAAGAAAAAAGCAAAAGAAAAAAATATAAATAGTTACCTTTGGGCCTTTGAGATAGATCTGAAGGCAGAGCGTCGTTGCCGCCATCCCCAAGCTGCGGCAGAGCTTCCGGAGAGCTTCTTGTTGACGACCTCCGTCACAATGAAACCGTCGCAAGCTTGAGTCATTACCCCGAGGGAGGAGGAAATTCATATTGGATTCTAATTATGAACAGATTTTGAATTGAGGCAAAAGAAAGAATAACTCCTTTCAGTTTGCGTTGTTATCTAAAAGTATAAAACTCATTTTTGTTTGCCTTGTTATTGTTCATAATTAGTCAAACTCAAATTTCCATGTTGATATTTATGTTGTGATTAATAATGATTTTGTGTTGATTTACAAATGATTAATGAATAATGTAAAAATGATTACTAATTATTGGTTCATGAAAAATTACAGCTGAAGAAATTTTTTTTTTATTCATTATTCATACATCAAAATTATCTCATTAACGCGGTTAAGCGGTGGATTTCACCGTACTCATTGTCAAAAATATGATATGTGAATGACCACGGATAAATCTTCTCAACCTTACACGATATAGAAATAGGTAGGATGAGTATGACGTTTTGCTCGACATTGAAGCATACAACACGGTCACATCCTTGTAAGTGAAAATGAGCATATATTTGCTCCCACTGTTCGTCGTAGGATATTAATGTGTAGTTGAAGTAGAGTTCTAGGTACCTATCTCCAACTATGAATTTCAGTGGCCCATCCACTTTGACGGAGTCGAGGAGGAATTCACTCAATCGTTCACGCTATAATTCAGTAAGAGGATGTTGACAAGTAATGGCATTGATTGAAGGATGCATTGATGCATATTCTTTTCTTACCGCAAAAAATGTACCGAAATTTGTATACAAAGATCTACATTGCTCTAGTTGATGAAACCGATATGTTGGTCGTATTGCGGATCGTGCGTTGACATTGATAAACATTAATATATAAACCAATTAGTATTACTGTACATAGAAAGAAAAATATAATATATAATTTATGCAGTATAAGTTTATTGTTACCTTGATCAAAATGACGAGTATTTCTCCCCATGCCATATTGATAAATTCCCTCTTCGGAGTGTAAGAGTCATAGGTATAGAAGTTTCGAAAATGAAGAAACTTGTATGTCGAAATAGCACAATGTCTCCAGGAAATAAATTATTTTTCACGATAAAATTAGTAATTCCCGTGGTAAAGTGCATATCTTCGACGTAAACTTCTATCCATTTGCTATAATGCCACAGAATTGCTTTTTTCGTCAAATGTTGCATTATATGGCGATGCATACAATTGGGAATTCTCTATTAACAAAATTATAGTAAATGTAAGAATGGTGAATGTATTATAACATTTTAATATATAAGAAAAAAATTAAATTACCATATGGAGATCATATGTAACTTGAATAGTGAATCGCGTAATAGCGCATTGACTATTATCAGGGATATGTATTTGATTGTCGCAAGCTAGTAACAAAATGACAAATGAAAATGATTGCAAGAGAACAAATGGATAGTTAGATCGACATGAATAAGTTGACAAATACGAAATTACTTACGTAAAGAATAATTAATTTGTCGTAGACGTTGAAATATGAGCATAGCATATCGTTGTGCATCTTCCTTATTTGAAAAAGGCATTCGATCTGGAACGGATACACCCAGCATTAGTAGATATCGACCCCATCCTTGAGTTGGATAAGATAAGTAAGTATTGTTGTGTTTGGTGTCTACATGTGCAAACACAATTTTTCTTCCTGCAATGCTTATTAGAACATACTCTAGCCTGTGACAGTACTGAGGAGTTATTGAATCTAGTATTTCAAAATCGTCGAATAGATCCATTTTTTATATGCAAAGAGTTGAGTTAAACTTTTAGGGAATGAGAAATTTTTGAACAAATTTGTAAGGAGGAAATCGAAGGAATGAGCAATGGTTGTGAAAACGGGCAGAGGTATATATAGAATAAAACATGGCTGAAGCATTTCGTTGTACACAGACCAATTAACATTTTTGGCCTCCCAATTATCATTTTGATTCGAAGATTTAATAAATCGTGGTGTCTGTTCTCAAAGATTGAACAAATTTGTAGTGTATAGTGTATCCAAAGATTTATCGAATCTAGAGATGTGTTCAAAGGTTTGCTAAGAAAAGCTGAGCCATAACACAATTAGACTAGACTAAAGCTTCCCTACTCGCAGGCTGCAAGATTCCATACTCTGCACACATGGTATTGAATTCAATTTTCAATGTCCAACATAAAAAGTACTTTGATATGTGTTGTTATACTTTGAAAATAGCACCGGGTATGTTTTAAGTTACCACATAACAACTCATTTAAAATGCCATGTTACATACATACATACATATATATACATACATACACACACACATATATATATATATATATATATATATATATATATATATATATATACATATATATATATATATATATATATATATATATATATATATATATACATATATATATATATATATACATATATATATATATATATATATACATATATATATATATATATATATATATATATATGGTTGAATTCAAATACAAACCCCCTTAAAATACAAACAGTCCTTAAAATACAAACTTGAGCTCGTGCACACATTAACATACTTACATGCACACAGGGCGCACTGCCAATAATTTCTTGGATTAGTACGTGCACACATTAACATGCTTACATGCACACAGCGCGTAGGAGGAAAAATCACAGCCATCCATCAAAGCTCGATCACACATTAACATACTTACATGCACACAGCGCGTAGGAGGAAAAAATCAGGGCCGTCCAATACCACCATCCAACGGCGTCAAATTGTCCACAGGTTTGTATTTTAAGATGTGTTTTTACCTGAATGTAAATCTCTCTCTCTCTCTCTCTCTATATATATATATATATATATATATATATATATATATATATATATATATAGAATAATAATCATATAGGAACCTATGTTTAGGTAGGAACTTAAGGACCAATCTAAGCCCTTGATTTTGTGGATCTACGGTTTGTGTTTTTTTTTTTTTTTTTTTTTTTTGTTATTTTTTTACGCTGATGGTAGTGTTTTTTGTGTAGGAGGGGTATTTTTGGACATTCAGGTACTCAAACGTTCTTCAGAATAAAATAAATAAATAAATAAATAAAAAAGGATCCCCAACGCGTGTGGGCAGTGCTATTTTGTCGCTGGGATTTTGACTTGTCGTAGTTGGACTCTTTCACTCTCAAACGCCACGCGATTCGCTGTTTTGCAGGTTCGACGCCCATACTGTTCTCTCGTCTCTTCTCCAGCTTTCCGTCTCATATGGCCAGTGGTGGTGTGAGGAACCCCAAGCGTCCTCGTCAGGCGACGGCTTCTTCCGCTGTTCGAGGTTTTTTTTTTTTTTTTTTTTTTTTTTCTCGTTTTTATGTTTTGATTTCCTGTGCGATCAGTATGTTTATTTTTATCGTGGGTTTCTCATTGTGTTGGGGGTGTGGGTGTGCTTGTGGCCGAAGGCTCTGGTTTTTGTTTTTTTTTTTTTAATTTAATTTTTTTGTTATGGCGTGTTTTGTATTGTGCGTGCTGTTGTTGGGTGTTTCTAAGGAAGTTTTAGTTTCATGAGTTATGTGTTTGTTAAGCTGGTTTCCCGCACCACCTAATACGTTAAATTTTGCCTTTTTTGTGGCTGCTTTTGTCCTTTTTCACCAGCCCTGGGTGTGGGTGCTTGTCGGTGTTAGGTGGTGCAGTGTGGGGTGCGTTGGGCTATTGTGCCTTTGTTATTTGTTGTGTTGTTTGTGGGTGTGTGACGGCAATTTCCCCTTTGGTTTTTTTTTTTGTTTGTATTTTTTTTATGCCTTGAATAGTCTCTCATGTGAGACAAAGAAATAAAGAACCATATGCTAGACACCAACTTTGTTTAATCAAACAGTTGAGTCACAGTGAAAATATATGATCAAGCTATATGGAAAGTTAAAATGTATATTTGGATTATTATATATTTTTAACTTCTGGTCAATCACATTGCCATCTATGTTGAAAGAATTATTCATGAGGCAAACATATTAGAATAACAGGTTTAGCACAAATATAGTCTAATTTAATTAATTGTCCAGATGACCTTTCTCATATAGTATAATTTAATTAATATAGTATTTAGTACAAAGTTCAAGCTTTTGGCTGAGGAACAGTAGGAGATATTCAATACTGCCAAGTATGTTGTGTTAAGTAGAAGAATATCATTAGTAACCTACTGATAGTGAGACACAGAAAGACATTTTCCCTTGAGAGCCAAGATGGATGTTTAGGTGGTTAAAGCATCAGAGCCTGAACATATATTGAGTAAGTGAAATACATCCCAATTCGAATTCCTAGCCCCCAGATTCCCATAATAGGTGAACCCATTTGTATTGTCAGTGTAATAAGAACTTATGCTTTGCTCATTCCAAAGTCCATCCATTTAGAACAAAAAAGTCATCCCATTTGTGTTTTATTTTCCCACGGCACTTTGTTTTTTAACATGGCAGGGGGGTTATCCTTGTGTTTTTTATGGCACACACTTACTTTCGTACGTGGACAGAAACATTTTGCGAATTTCATATCATGGTGGTGAATATGGCACACACATCTCTTCCTGTGTGCACACTTGTCTTTCTGGATTGGTGGTTTCTTGTTGGATTATATAGTTTACCTTGTTTCGATGTGGTCTTGGTCTTTTGGCAGAAAGATTTGTTGTCTGTGTTCCTTGATGATGAGGTGGATTTGCGTTATGGGGCTGCTGTACAGAGGATTACCCCGAGAAGAATGCAGATGCGCTGGCGTGATGCACGTAACAAAGTGGACTGTGGCGTCTTTGCAATGCGGCATATGGAGTCCTTCATTGGCCAATCAGTGTATGCATGGGATTGTGGTCTACAGAAAGGCTATACTAAGGGTTTTGATTTGTTGATGAGGTCTTATTTGCATCAGATTTTGACGAATGAGATTAATGCTCACCATCCTAAGAATATTCGTAGTGTAGTTGGGTACCACGATGCCAACGAACAAAGATAGCTTTGTGTTTTTGTTGCTT